CATACATACATACATACATACGCTACCCTACCTACGTACCTGCATACATACCCACTTAGACAGAAAGCAAGCAAGAAAGAAGGAAAGAAAGCAAGGAAGGAAGGAATAAAGAAAGAAAGATATGTACGTATGTGTATATATGTATATGACTGCCTGGTACATATAAACACCAGCAACACTAACAAAAAAATACTATTGGTAGTGTAACAGGGTACTGCCAACAATGAACCAAGAAATACACAGCGACAAAAAGTCAGCATCATAATCATAATGATAAGAACAGTACGAACGAAAAAGGCTAAGAGCAGGTCAGAGTTGGAATACTAAAGAATACGAGAAGAATAAAACAAGCAAGTTTTCGTATTAAGCATAATCACAATCTGAAGTAAGCAGGACAGGGCCTAAAAAACACCCACACCAAACTACCCTAAACCCTCAACTTTTAGCAGCCTCCTGAATTCGGCCACACAGCGGCCAGGCCCTCCACTTCCTTCACGCCCACGACCTCCAGACCGCCTCCGGGTGAAAATGCTGGACTCAAACACATTGAAGAAAGCCTTCTAAAGGATTTTACAGGGTTTGGGACGGAAATTAGAGGCTTATGTTACCGTTTACGAAGGCTTATAGGGATGAAAACAGGGGCCTTGATCATTGGAATGGTGCTTTGGGGCTACATTTCAAGAGATTTTTGCAGGCGCCACGATGGAACATGCTAACTAATGTTTGGCCCTCTATTGATCTGTGCATGTTCACAGGGCTCTTTCTGAGATATCTGATGGCTTCTCGTTTCAGGGGTGGTGGTTGAAGTTTCAGCGCTTCAGGTCAAGGTTCAGGGTGGCGAGTTTTTGTGAAGCTTTGTATAGACGCCCTACGGCAGCCAATCAGCCATGTTGAACTAAACCCCCAAGCCGAAGCTTGTATTACGAAAGACTGTGCTTGATCTTGCTGTGTAACCCAACCCCTTGACATACTAAAGCCCAAACACTAGATTCCAAAATGCCGTACCACTGCGGAAGCAGGGTTAGGGTCTTTTGGCCTGGCCCGTTGAAGGCTTACGGCTTGGCTGGTGCTGTTGCTTACCTTGTTGGTGTTTCAGGCTTCATGGGTCTGTAGAATGAGTTCGTCTAAGGCTTGGTCTGCTGAATCACGAGAAAAGACTTGGGTGGCACTGCTATATAGCTATATCGGAATCTGAATCCTAAATCCCCTGCTGAGGCTCCTATAGTGTGCAGAACAGGGCTGGCAGGAGCCAATAAAAAGCCCAACGCACAAGAAACAAAATCATTGATTTCTGAGAACTATTATGATTATCGTTCCCGCATGTCCGCTGCACAACTCGAGTTTATCATTAACATCACTGTCACTGTTCTTGGCTCCTGTGCGATAAGGTTTACTCTTATTGCTAATTACTGTCAGTACTCATCTCTGTTTTAACGCTTGCTGTCGCGATTCCCATCAAACTTAATTCTAGCACTATTGCTATCACTATACATGCTGATAATGTTGTGGTTGTGTGCTTGACACGACTATTCTTACTACTACTCCTGTAGTCATGAATGTTGATAGTGTTAGTATTATTATTACTGCTATCATCATGGCTATTGTTGCCGTCGTCACTTACTTGACAGGCATCATGAGAGCGGATGGTGAAGTGCCTCAGCGGATAGTATACCTTTACCGATTCGTTGAATCTTCTTTAGAGGACCTCTAAAGCGGGTCACCCCTAAAACCTCAACCCTTGCCCAAAACCCCAAACGCGTCTAGAACCCCGGTTCGACGCTTTTCGGGCCAAGCCGAGGCCCTCACCGACGTCCCCGCAGGGCACTCGCATCTCGGGGAGGCCCTCGAGCTCCTCGGGCCCTGGGAAAGCTGGGGTCCAGGTGTTTAATCGGGGTGTGAGGGTTATTGGAAGTGTTTAGGGGGTTTGGGGCTTTTGTGGGCTTTTAGGATGTTTACGGGTTTGGGGCTTTCAAGGTATGTAGGGGTTTGGGGGGCTTAAGGTTTCGGGCCCTTACGACTTCAACGAACCCGCCTGTTAGACTTTAGCATCTTGAAGCCTCGGAACAGACGTAGTAGGAGGACAACTGAGTCTCCTCATCCTGGCAAAAAACCTACGAGCCAGATACTGGATGTCATGTGCAGCTACTTGGTCGCAAAGCAAGCTCAACAGATATCAAGCAACATCACGTCCGCGACGCAGCACCGCGCCGTTCCCATCGAAAAACAGTGGAAGTGACGTGGCATCTGAAAGCTATTCTTGGAGTCATAGAGATTCATGCCAGCACCGTTAGCCTCGCTCCACGGTTCATCTTCATGAGCGTCGTGATGCGATAGTCGACATTCTACCCTACCCACCTTAATCCCAGATCCACCACTAGCATACTGCAACCCGAAGGCCCTAAACCCTGAAGGCGCGGGCCAGTAGGCCAACCATAAAGGCAAACCCCCTCCTAGCAAACCCTGAACCTTAAAGAGGTGCCTTGTAAACCCTAAAGGCCAGCCCTCAGCAGTTCAGTAGGCCCCAACCCCGACAGAAGAGGACCGAAACCCTCAAGCCCTGAACAACAGCCTTCAGCAGGCCCTAGGTTTTGGATCTGTGTGACATTTTCGGCTTCAGGTCTGTTGCCTTTCCGTGGCGTTGGGATACCAGGTCTGCGTTCAGGGCTTAAGTTCTTCAGGATGTGTATCGGATTGGGCTTAGGGGGGTTTAAGGTTTAGGGTTAATTTGTCGCATCGGGTTTGGGATTTAGGCTGGGTGGTCGTAAAAAGTACAAGAACCCAAACCACACAAACATTCTGAAGTGAACCTGCGTGATCCCGAATAGGATCGACCGCAGGTGGTCCCGTTTGGCAGTTGGGGCTGTGGACATAACTTGCAAACTTTTCGGATGCCATGGCTGCCATGGAGCACTTTCTACGTTGAACCTTTACTAAGTGCCGCCTCCTTCATGCCTCCTGGCTCTGCAAGAAGTTCTTGGTGAGTGATCTGTGACGGTTTTCCCCTACTGCCTCGAAGTTGGGAGGCTGCTAGCGAGGCGACCGCCGTTGGATGTCCCATCTCATCTCCGTTCACTGACCATGAGCATCTGCCATCTGACACCCTCGTCTCGGCACCAATGCGAAAGCCTACACCAGAAGTCCTACATTACGACCCTAAATGTTCATGCCCTGCTTCCCTGCTGCAAGCCCTAAAACCCCAAAATGTCTATCTTCAAACTCGACAACTAACTGCCTCCGCCGAACAAATCGTGGGCTTTCCCACGGGCTACGGGGTTTTTGGGCCTCTGACGAGTTTATGTATGAGTTTATGCTTAGGAAGCAAAGTCAGGCTTCAGGGCTCTCTGATCCCACAGTAGATGCCTCCCAGTAGTATCTCCAACCGCCGCCGAGCCCAAACCATGAGGTCAATCTCCTGGGCTTGAGGGTTCAGGGCTTCGGATGCTGTGGCTTGTTGGGGCTTTGTGTCTGCGAGCTACACAGTGCTGGTTTTAGGTACGCCGCGGACCAAAGAGATGTCATAAGTACATTACATGACTACGGCTTCTCTGCAAGGAATTCCGCACCGAAGTTGATTTTTGGGGGACCTCCAACTCTGCTACTAGACTCCCTGCGTCTATCTGAGATGACCCCTATATTATTGGACTTGTTCCTTCCTGGCTTCTCCGGGCCTCTTACATCCCTGACGATTTTCATCCTCATGGCCTGGGGTTCTCAGGGTTACCAAGGGTGGTTTCGGGAGGTTTCCCACCAACACTTTGTCAAGAAAGGGGCACTACATTCTCGGCACGTCAACCTCAGGCAAAGGCAAAAACCAAAAGGCCTTAGACCTACCCAGAACCATAACTGTAGACTTCGAGCAGCAAACAACCAAGATAACTTCACGTCCCAGCACGCCTCAAGCCCCCGAAGCCCTAAACACTCAAGATTGAATCCCTCAACCAAAAACCCTACACCGTCTTTCTTGAAGCTATCTGTCAAAAACCCTGCCGGTTCGCCTCCCAGGAACCCGGACCAATGGATCCTGGCTTTGAGCTGAGGCTGCAGGTTGACAGACTTCCAGGGCTCTGGCAGACAAGGATTTAGGCTCATGGTTTAGGGTCTAGCCTAGGGGCGCTGGGGCTTGTAATTCTCGAAGTTTTTATGAGGGTTCGGGGTTCAGAATGGCCCAGCGTTTCCAACCGGGCGGAAAACCTGAGGAAAGACGGCGGCCAAAGGATTGAACATTCGACTGGCCTCTACCCATCCAAGACTTGAGTCTCAAGCTCCCGGGTTCAGGGTTTAGGGTGTGAGCTTTTGCTGTCTTGTACGACTGGGAGGCGATTGAACCCCGGACATGCAGGGTGCTTCAACATGCTGGCCTAGATTCCAATAGCTAGCATAATAGTAACCATCATATTCATAAGACTAATGACCACAAAAAAAAGAAACATCGTACAAAACGGCACCCCTATACCGGCATCGTGTTGAAACGCTTACAGATTCCGGCAGGCTAGGCCAAAGCTTAAGAGATCTAGGCGTAGATCCGCCGCATGACCAAATCACCCGCCTGACGGCAGCGGAGAGGATCTTTGCCGGCATGTTGCTGGCGAGGGCGCTGCCGGCCCGCAAGGGGTCGGAATCTCGGAAGACCCCCAAAGGGCTTTTCGGGGTTGTGAAAAAGGGGTCGGGCCAGGTTCGATTTAGGGTTGAAGGCTTGGAGTTCAGGCTTGGGCTTGGGAAGCAGCAGTTTTTTCCGTGCACTGCTAAAGTTGCTGCAAGCCTAGACCCTAGACCCCACCAACCCCAATCCCATCATGAATAACCGCGGAGACCACACGAATCAGATCAAGGCTGAGGGTTTGGGCCATGAGACCTGAAGCCCGGAGTCTCCCTGCGGCTAGGGCGAAGGCGGTTTCGTCGGGTGAGAATCTACGGATTGAAGCGGGCTCAACCCTTTGGAGTTTACATGTTTTCTGGAACCAAATGTCTGGAACTTCTGTTGATCTTGGGACCAATCGTTCTGCAACGGTTTGAAACGAGGTTCTAGAAAGGGTTTTATAAGTTGTTCTAACCCTCCCAGCCTGACGTGAAGTCAACACCTCTTCGGGCCCACCGGCATCGCAATGACGACCTGGCTCCATGGCCAAGTTACTTGGGCAGGTATATAGCAGTTCCTGATCTTGGCATCCAAAACCTTAGACGCCTTAAACGCCTTACACAAGGTGAGATCCTGGAACTACCATCCTCAAGAGATTCAACTTCCTGAAACCATGAAACCACATCCCTAGACCCCTGACCGGGAGCCCTGAACTCTAAAGGCCCTAAGTGCTGAACCCTACCACTCCACCAAAACCCGGATTCGGGCTCAGGGTTTAGCATCCAGGGGTATACTGCCACCAGAATCCCAAGAGTCGCCAGGCCTTCCTCGCCCAGTGCAGGAGGCGCCACGGCTGGTCGGCAGCAGCGCCTCACACTGTGATGCCGGTTTCGGGTTTCTCTTTCGGGTAGGTGGGTTTCGGGCGCTGAGGTCTGGAATTTGGGATTTAAGATGCTAGGGCTCCTGAACCCTTAACCTTCGACTTACAACCCCGACACCCTCCAACCCAAAACCCGAACCCTTGAACTCCATCAACCCCAAAGACCATGAAACCCTAAACCTGCACTGGAGCTCTGGCCTGAAAGTCCCCGATTCGGGCCTGAAGCCCGACCGAAATTCCCCCAAATCGCTGAAGATTTGAACCCTCCCCAGCAAGAACACATCCATGAACACTTTGTGTCGTATGAGTTTGGGGTTCAGGAAAACGAAAACACCTTGGGAGTTTGAGGAGAACCGTTGGGGAGCGTCGGGATCAAGCCCCAAGCCTAAAAGCCTCTGACTATGGACCAGGAGCTTCGAAAGCCGAAATGCCATGCGAGCACAAATCGTTTAACCCTGAGCTACGAATATCTGTGAACCGTAAACTCTGACCTTAGCCCTAAGCATTGAGCTCTTAACACCTGAAAAAGCACCCTCTCCTGCCTCTTGTGATACCGCCAGTCGGCCTCAGTTGCTGGAAGCTCCACCAGTCAGAATCTTACTCACTGATGGTCTAGGGTTTAGGGTGAGGTGAAAGATTCAGGTTTTGTCAGATACAGGGCCTGCAAGAAGCTTGACAGGACGATGCTGCGTTGGCAACGGCATACACGTATTTCCACTGCGAAGACGCCGACGACTATAATTGCCACTTTGGCGAGTACTTACAGTCTGCCTTGGAGTCGTGTCGTGGATCTTCGTAGTAGAACTACTGTCATAAATTATATTAATCGTGAGTACAACAATGAATATCCTGGGCATGTAAGAAAGCTGCAGGAGCATGGAGTTTGGTATGGCTGTATGGTGACCGCACCTATTGTAGTTGGTTTCATTCTTCCTATGATGGTGATGATACGATGATGGTGGTGAGGATGGTGATGTAGTGGAGGCAGCAGCACCCAGCAGCAGCTGCAGCAGCAGCAGCACTTGCACCTGCACTTGCACTTCTTGTTGCTGCTGTGGCAGCAGCGTTGTTCATCAAAAAGCTCTTGATGGTGCCGCTCCTGTCGCGGCTGCTGCTGCTGCCGCCGTCGCCGCCGTGGGGTGCGCCGCATGATTGCACGACGGCTGCTGCCAAAGTCTTCGTTCTATTGTCCCACGAACATCTGAAGCCAAACGCCGAAACCGAAAGCTCCGGAATCTCGTAAACTCCGAAACCCCTCGCTCCGAAGACCTTGCCCGCAGACTCTTCTGCGGGCGGACGTGTCAATGTGAATAATAGGCTTCATTGCGCAGGGCTTTCTGGGCTTTGAGGTTTGCGGGATTCGGGTTCAGGATTTGCGCACGTGTCGAATTCGAGGATATTTCCAAAGCTCTTCATAGAGCCAGGCGAGTCGCCTTCTGGCAGCTGCTGCTGCAGTAGCTGACAGCCCGGCATTGCCCACATCGTAGGGCCCGCAGGAGGGATTTGCCACCTTTGCTGTCGGCTGGCTTCTTCTTTCGTGCTTCTTGGTCTGTCGCCTTTATGGCTCAGGTGCAATGCCTTTGAGATTCTAGGCTTTCTGTTCTCGAGCAGGGTTCGGTGCTCTGCGTTTCAAGTTTCAGGGTATCGGCGGACACAGGCTGTGTTCTTAAGGCTTCGGGCTTAGGACTTTGTCAAGCTCTGAACCCACGCCCTGCGCTCAATCTGAATCCTGAGCCACATAAGTGTCCCACACCTTAAACACCTAAACCGCCAGATCCACCCTCAAATACTCGGAAACCCGAACTCAGAACCCAGAGCCCCTGAAGCTCCAAGCCCCTCAGCCTTCTCGCCAGGATGCATCCCTGGCACTGCCCAGAGGTCACGGAGATCTGGCCATCCTCCTCCCATGTCTTGGCCTGGGGATTGCGGGGGCGCTCGGGAGATAAGGGAACGAAGTAGAAGCCGTTGTAACATGCTTATCCTCATCCCCTGAAGATGCGGGCGAAATCCCGGCACTAATCGTCCTTAGTCGGCGTTCCAGCTTTTGGGGGTTCACTGTAAGGCTTGTTGTTTGAGCTTGAGGGTGTTGGGATCAGATGAGGATTCACGAGGGAAGGTTTTGGGCGCGCAAGTTTTGGGATGTAGGGCTTAGTTTTAATGAAAGCCACTGACTGGAACCGCGTGCCTCGGAGCAGACATGCCAGAGCTCGCGGATGCCACTAGGCTCCTGCCCGTGAACAATATGGAGGGTCGAACCTGTATCTTAAATCCTAACACCCGAAATACCTTCGAATCCAACACCTACACCTTGACATGCCCTAAAGCTCCGAAGCCCTTAAGCCAAGCTTGTCAGAGTGTCTGGATTTCAGGGATGCCCTTGTCCTGAAAATAACACCGTTACCCCCAAGCTCCCTAAACCTGAAATTGAAGCCTAACCTCGGAGCGCTAAACCCTAAGCCTAAACTCAAACCCCAACCTCAAAACCCCAAAACATTGCCTTGTTCATTTAGCCTTCAGTAACCTGCTTCTTGAACCCCTTCAGCCCAAACCCTGTGAAATAATCCAGGAAAAGAGCTCCGAATCTCGTCACTTCAGGCAAGAATCAAGCAAAAGCACCGAAGCACCCTTGAACGTCCTCGGAGTCGTCCGAAGCAAAGGCCTCGCCCAGCGGCCGGCCATCAGAAAACCTGCAGCACCACCCCGCTGCGCAATGACGTAATGCGAAGCACAGAAATACAGAGACGGCAAAGGCAAATAAGTAGAACTCTTGTCTCGGCGACTTAACAAACGCACATGTGCACAAAAAGGGGAGAGGTAGACACACGCAGAGGGCTGTAGACTCTATACTGGAAGTCTTCTCGCAGGCGAAGCATTGGCCCCTAGCGTTGTTCTCAAGTTTCAGCTGGAGTATGCCATGGCGAGTGCTTGTAGTTTTGTAGTATCTTGTCGTGCTTGTGCCTCCAGACTAGACCCCAAGCCCAGAACTCAGAATCTATCTTTTCAGCATGAATCCTGAAACCAAAGACTAAGGAGGCTTTAGATGGTGTTCCTGGCTGATGCCAATCCCAGCTTTGGGTCAGACCGTCGTTGAAGCCATCAAGAGGCCTCGAAATCATCCACTGCTTCGAGTCGTTGAACTTCAACCATCGCGTGCCGTCGCCTCAGCGGAACCAAAATCCGAGTTCCGGGCGCGGATGAAGATTAGGATGAGGTTGCCGATATTGGATCTAAAGGTTTGGTGCACGGTTCGCAAGTTCGCATATTCGAAGTCTCACCAAAAAGAAAAGGGGACGTGAAAGACGTCGGAGTGCTAACCCGACCCAGCATCGGAAAAGAGACGGGAGGAGGGAGGAATTCAAGCGGGTCATCCATTGTATGGATGAGATGAGAGCGACAGACGTCGGGTCTGGTGAGACAACAATGCTCGAATCTGCGACGAAGTGCTTCCTCGAATCAACTCTAATCGACCGCCTCTGTCGTCATGGAGCTTTCCCGCTTAGCAACGCGATGTTGGTAGCCACTTGGCTCCGCGCGGAAAAACACACTGCTCATGACGTAAGTGTCGTCGGTCTGTCGACTTAATTGTCCATATCGTCGGTCTATCAAAACTCGTCACTGTCTGGCAAGCAACCCATAGCCATAGTAGCCGCTAGCGAAACGCAGTCCGTCCGTCTTTGCCCACAAAGGACCCTGTAAAACCCAGAAGCCCTCCGAAGTTGAACACCCGAGGGATGCTAAAGAAGCCCGAACGGCGCTCTAAAGCAGCGCTACCCACTTCATGCTCGAAAGAAGCCTCATCATCGTCATCATCATCATCACCATCAGCATCCACGTCGTCATCAAGACAATGTCGCAAACAACCCTTCAACTAAAACTTCAGCACTTGCTCTTGGCCCAAGGACGCTTGCGGAGCCTTGGACGCCCGTTGAGCCAGCCATCCTCGGGCCAGAGGCTCGGGTTTCTGGCCTTCTGAGCATTTCGTGCTGCTGGGGGTCTAGGGGTGTTTACAAGCTTCAGCAAAGGAAGGACATCACAAAGAGCGGTTTAGTCTTCGATGCTCAGGGATTTCGTTGGGTTGTTGATATCAAGCTTCGGCCTGCAGTCTTCGGCTAAGCCTCGGGCCTACAGTGTAGACAAAACCCGAGACCGAGCCGATAGAGGAGGGGTGGGGGTGGTTCCTTCGGCAGTAGGGACCCCCCTCCCTGCGCGGGTGCATGGGGAAACAACAGAGGGGGGGGGGCTCGTACTGGAGGAGTATGAAGGGGGGGGCGGGGGGTGGGTCAGACCTAGGGGGGTTATACTTCGGGGTGGGGGAGTAGGAAAGGGCGGGGGTTGGGTTCGTCTTTGTGAGAGGAAGGGTGCTTACTACTGCCGATTGCGACAAGTACTTGTACGACGACAACGACGACGACTACTACTACTACCACGACTAGGATCACTAGTAATACTGTCGACTGCTTCTACTAGGACGACTAATCGAACTACTACTAAGACTAGGACTACTTGCAACCCCAGAAACTGCGGACTATGAAAGGGGTGGGCGGGGGTAAGTCGGGCTAAGGACGGCTTGGAGATGCACGGCAAAGGGGCAGGGCTGCCCCCCTACCCCAACCCCGCCGTCTTTTTGGCGTGTTCTCGTGGGCAAGGTGGCGAAGCGAGATCGCCCGAGGTCTGAGAGCGCGTATAAGATAAATGGTGAGCCGGACTCGCCAAAGGAGGGGGCGGGCGTGTTTAAAATATATGACAAACCTGCATCGCCAAATGAGGGGGCGTGTTTGAGATAGAGGTCGAGCCGGAATCGCCAAATGAGGGGGAGCGCTTGAGGAATACAATGATTCCGAATCGCCAACTGAGGGGGAGTGTTTAAGGTGTTTTCAAGATCCGGAATGGCCAGATGAGGGGGTGGTTGAAGATGTATGATGAAATCGAATGGCCACACGAGGGGCCGTGTTAAGATGAATGATGAACCGGAATCACCAGAGAAACTGGCGTGCTCAAAAGTACAGACTATAGATGATAAACCCAGATTGCAAATTGGCTTCTAAGGGTTTTGTGTTAGTTCGTCACGTTCTCGGTTGTCTAAATTTCACTGGGGTGTCGCTCGACGGGGGGTGTGTCATACCAGTACTACTACTACTACTACTACTACTACTACTACTACTACTACTTCTACTACTACTTCTACTACTACTACCACTACTACTACCCTGCGCCTCTAAACCCCTGCACCCAAAACCGGAACCGTCACAATTTCTGACCTCCCGAACCAACCCCAGTGAGACACATCGAGAGAGTCCTGCTTGTATATGCCGTTGACAACCTGCCAGGACTTCAAAAGTAGCAGTGCTTTCAGCACCTTTACACGAAAGCACCCGGAATCACGTCACAATGTATCAGAAGTCGAGACGAAGCACCAATTATCACACGAGTTTTGATCCCAATATGATAGTGTTAATGATAACAGGGATGATGAAGCTGACGGCAACGGCAACAGTCGGCACGGAGGATGAGAGTCCGGAGCTTCAGAATTTGGTTCGAAAAAAGCAAGAAGGGGCTAAGGGCCCAGCGGTTTGGGTTTCGAGCCGGGCAGAAAGAAGTTTGGGCTTCGGGGCTTGCACGTGTTGGGGAGCTTTTCGGATCAAGGTTTGGACTAAACCCCGAAGTCTCTCCAACCCCTCAACCCTAAACTAGTTCTTCAGGATATCTTCAACCCTGTAGTCCAGCTCCTCGCACCAAGGCTTGGGCGAGGATGCAAGGATTGAAATTGGGGTTTGCTGTTTATGGTTTAGAATAGGATCTAAGATGTCGACAAGGATTTACGATGTTGATTCGAGGTTTCAAGTTTGAGATGAGGGTTTAAGGTTTTGATGGTGATTTGAGGCTCTGATTAAGGCTTAAGGCTTTGATTGGGGTTTAGGCGGTTTAGGGTCAAGGGTTTGGGAATAGGAATCAGCCTCTCAAGCCATGAATGCATGTCAGGGAGAGTCCTAAGCCGTAGACCTCCCATCGGACCCTCAGAGATACTAAGATACCGCCCTGCCTGAAAGCCCAAACGCTTGATCAGGGCGAGACACACGGGTTTGAATTTTCCGGTTACAGCTTCAGGGTTTAGTGTTCAAGAACTTCAGGACCTACGTCAGGCTCACCGTGTTTGAGGCTTCAGGTGAAGGGTTTGAGGTTGACAGAGTTTGAGGGCCTGAATAATTAGGTGTCGTGGCTTAATGAATACTCGGGAAGCTCAGGGTTAGCATTATGAAGACCGACAAAGCCCAAAGCCCGCAAACCCGAAACCCTGCCACGTCAACTCACAAAGCTCTGAAACCCGAAAAACGAAAAAAAAAAAAAAAAAA